AAAATTATCTTAGTTTTTCTAAAAGTTGTACAAATACTTATTTTAATAGCTTGATATTTCTATTACATTACACTGCAATGAAAATATAAATTTACAAGATTTGTAAATCATTTTGTTTTTATTTGCATTTTTACACAACCCAACTTTTTCAGAATTGAGAATAGAAGAGAACTGATCAAGATTTACAAAGTCGCCTCACAAAAATCACACATTGTTTATTTAAGGATTAAAACATTTATAATTTTAGTAGCTTCATGTATCTTTGTGCACTTTGTTTTTCAATAAATGGCTGCCAAGAAATCTTAATAAATAAAAAAGGCTATAATATAAGAATTTATTCTTATTTTTAGCCCTTAGATCATTTGAAATCAATCTTTACAACTTTTACTTCAAACACCATGCAGCACTAAAACTTCTGAGTCAAGTCTAGTTTAGAAGAGAACCAGTGTGAGACACGATATGCTACACTGCCCTCTACTGGAGATTATAATTACTGATGGACAAATAAACATGCATAAGAAGCTCCTTCAAATTATTTTCCTTTTTGCAACTATTTGTCTTTGGAAACACATAAGCCTAATAAAATTTCTGTTTAGTAACATGCTTTTAATCAGAAATCACTGAACTAAACATAAACTAATCAACAGTCTTTGTAATGATATTAGAAAAATTATTTCAAAGGAAGTAAATAACAGTCTTAAATTTGCAACCTATAATGAATGAATGAGTCCTGACAATGAGAAGCGGATGCCTCTGTTATTTAAGACAGATTATTCAAGCAAATAAAGCTTCAGAATCAAACACAAACGCATCACATTCCTCATCTTCATTTATTTACTTCAGCTCCAGTGGTTTCATACTGTAGCAGCATTTTCACAATCATTTATTGTTTGCATTGTCAAACGTCCAGACATTCCTGTTCTCCACACAGAAAAAAAATAAAATAGAAAACAATTTACCCCAACTCCTATTTTTCATCTTTTGTGCATAAACATAAAAAATGTTCACAACATATTTCTTACAAAAGATCAACAGATTTCCTCCAAAATAAGAATTGAACATTTGTTCTATGACTGTAAAGCTTTTTCTATATTACAGAAATAAAAAATTTAAAAGATGTAGCGTGCATGCAGGGTTAAAGACATTTTAATGTTCTTCATGGTTTTTTAAGGAATGTTTTCTCAGTGAAACCAACATAATGACTGAGAAGGATGGAACAGGGGATCGAACCAGCCGTGTCGAAAAACTCAACCTATAAAATTCAAGTTTCTAGTTAAAAAATTTAACACTACTTTGAGGGGAAACTGTGGGGGTCACAGCGAAGGAATGAGAGTTCACAGCAGGTAAGCTCTTAGGATTAAAAGCAGAACGCAGGGCACGTCTTTGGTTTGTTAATATATGGCCGTCTGCAAACAGCAGCAGCAGCAAGAAGGGTTAGTGTCAGCACTAAAATCTGAAGCACTTTGTTTTAGGAAGAAGAAACAAAAACATCCTTTCTGATTATAATCAAATAAATCCAACTGCTTTCTGGATTGCATCAATATCTGGCAAAATGTCCCGACTGCTGGATCTAAAATAAAACAATGGGCTGGAAAAAAGCAGAGAGCACACAGGAAGTGATGAACTACAACAGGATGGGAGAAAATAAAAGATTTAATCAAGTTTTTTGTTTTGTTTAACTGGCTAACAAAGTGTGCACAACAGTGTTACTCCTTTTTTTTTTTACTAACATTTCATTTGTCAGGTGACATTTGGAATCACGTGATCTGCACGAGAAACATCAGATAAACATATATTATTTATAAAATCTAAAAATTCCGATTTGCTATGACACATAAACAACAGGCCTCACAAAATCTGAAGAGCACATTTACAAAGAGTTCAATCTTCTGAAGTAACAGACTTTTTCTGATCTTCAGTACAAATCGGTCAAAATATAGATTTATGTCTTGAGTACATAAACAGTAGACAAGCTGCCAACGTTCTGCAACAGCTAAGGCTCTAAATTGTGCGTGATTTAGGACCAACGTGGTACTGAACTTTACCAAGGCTAATAACTGGACTGGTATGACCTTCAAGTCTTAAAACTCAGAAAAAGAAGATTCCTCGTGGTGAAAAATAATGGCAATTAGTGATTGATGCGAACAATAAGACAGCAGGAATTTTTGAAAACACACAAAATACCATCCAGCTTATCAAATGACAGCATTTTAAGGGTTTGATTTATGGCAGAATTGTGCATTTTTGATATGTAACAAAACAAATAAAGAAATACTTCCTATGTTGAGAAAATAAAAAACAAAACAAGTTGAAGCTGTATAATATTTATGAGGCACTTGGAAAAAGCTGCTGTTCCATCGTCACAGGAAGTGGATCTAACGAACCTGTTGTAATGAGTTTCCACAAACACATGATAAAACTAAACAACCAGCACTGTGTTTCTTCTGCATCCATAAAATACAAGCTAAAGAGTGCTAAGAAAATAAATAAAAAGTTCCAATATTTAGGAAAAAAAACAAAAAATAAATTGCTCAGGCAACTTCATGAGCTCATCGCACATGGAAAACTTGGTAAAGTTTGGTAGTGACGTGGAGAACATAATCCACTCTTCATCTTTGTTGCATAGCATGACTGAGCCACATCATCGCAGCTCAGAGACAAACCTAAATAATGAAAAGGAAAAATGAGGAGTGTCGATCAACTCCACTCGGTGACTTCCTTGCTGGGCAATAACTAGTGCCATTTCCTCGACAGCACCTGTCACACCACACTGACTCACGCTTTCAGAGTCTTCCGTCACTCGAGGCGTTAGCAGCGCCGCCTTCCATCACAGTGGCCCGGACCCAGCCTCTTGTTCCAGCTGCTGCTTGGTCAGGAAGTACTTGAAGAACTCGTACACCGACCAGGCGATGGCAGTGGAGGGCATCTGGTAGATCACCCGAGCTTGGATCCCTTTGAAGAAGGCCGCGGGGCCGCCGAGCCGGTACACGGTCCTGAAGGCGTTGGCCATTCCCGATAGGTGGCCACTGATGTTCATGGAGTTCAGCGCTACGTTCTCCTGCGTGTTGAGCAGTGTTTTACAAACGTCCAGGGGGGTCGTCACGGCCGCCGACACGGCTCCGGCTGCGGCTCCCGACAGTATGTGGCTGCCGGGGTTGTAGTGCCTGTGAGGGTTGAGCTGCTCCTGCATCAGTTCGTAGGTGATGAAGTGAACGGCCTGGAAGGGGATGTTCATGGTCAGCTGGGTGCTGTAGCTGCGGTAGAAGGCGCCCACGCCTTCGGCCTGCGTTATTGTCCGAACACAGTCCCAAAGTCCTCGATATGGAGAGTTGTACATCTGCATCCTCTGCTTTATCACTGAGCAGCAGGAGAACATCAGAAACTTTGTTAGTATATTTTATTGCATTTATTCCAAACAAAATGACACTGTGCAGTTAATACAAACAAATAGCAAAAGACAGAAACCTTTTTTATATGCATATGACCAGGATGCATGTTGATATATATGTTTTCTGCTGGTCCTCTTTCACTTTGCTGGCTCAGCAGTAAGATCAATGTACACCCACCCCTCCACCCCACACACACACCATTTCACACATATACGGTACAAACACCCTTGTGGTTGCCCTTGTAGAGTTCAAATGAAGAAATGTTGGATACTATCTGAACCAAAACAAATCTATCTTGTTCTCACTCTTTTATCAAAAAAGATTAAAAGTTTACAAAACGTTTCTGCCAAGAACCATGTAAAATGTTGTTTTTGGTTTTATTGGGGTTTTTTTTAAGCCGTCCATGGAGCTGTAAAAAATGCTGTGTCCTTCACAAATCCGGGCTTTTGTGTGTTTTAACACACCAACCTTTTGAGTGTTTTTAAAAACGCACTTGTCAGTATTTTCCTTTTTGAAGACATTTTTCTTACCTTCAGCTGGATTCATGACTGCATCATGCAGAACGGTGGCCACACTTCCTGCGACGCCTGATGAAACAAACAAATCTTCAGTCTAAAGTTGTGACAGAGGAAGGTCAGTTTAATTCTCAAAGTCTTAAGCAAACATTTATGCGAAGTTGAGTTGAATTAACAAAGCTTTCCTCTTTTAAAAAAAAAAAAGAAAAACAGCGTCATATCTGGATGTGACTTCTCATGTTTTGTCTTTCTTACTGTGAACTCTTTAAGAATTAAACTAGCTACACTCTTCCGGGATCCAGTGCTTAGTCTGCTGTCTGAGCAGCTGATAAGACGTTCAGGAGATCTGCGTGGAGAAATAAAAGCTCGTACCATTGGCGATGTGGCTGTTGCCTCCACTCTGAATGATGTCACTCAGTGAGTGCTTCAGCCGTTCATAGCAGGCGAAGTAGAGCGCGTGGGCCGGCCCCGCTCCCATCATAGTGATGTTGAGGCCCCTCAGCGGTCTGAAGACTCCTTCTGTCTGGATGATCTTTTTCAGAGCTGCATACACACTCCTGTATTGAGCATTCGGGTCCGGCTGCAAGCTCTGCATCCTTGTCTGTAGCAAAAAATAATTAAAATTCTGTATCTTAAACATCATCACTTGTTTTGTTTTGTTTTGATACATTATTTAACTAAAAGCTCAGCATCAGTGCATGACTTTCCCTGATTTCTTCCTCTACTGTAAAGATGTGGTGCTCAAACAGGAAACCTTGGCATCGCTGCGGTCCCATCAGTGTGACGTACAACTCTCAGTCTAAGGCTGGTGGCGACTGTGGCAGCTCTTTGTTTGACTCCACCATGCCGAGTGGTCTGATCAACACAAAGCACGTTTTTTATTTTTGCGAGGCGATGACGGGAGGACACAGGCCGGGTCTATCTTCCTCGGCACATCCGTCACCGTTTCCTTCCTTTGGTTTGACAATAAAATATCAATTTCATTTCCGTTAGATGCATTTTTTTGGGGGGTGGAATTTGGGCACAGAAAACTGGGCAGCACAGTTTATGACTCCAGCAGCTTCTGTGGGTCAGTGCGAGTCGTACAGATCAAACTGCAGGTTTTTGACTCACAACTCTAAGTTTGGAATACATGAGGTCTGTGCTATGACATTTTGTTAAAATAGTAATGAGCTACAGATAACAAAACCTCACTTTTAAAGACTTCAGCAGTTAATTAGGTATACAATTGTTAAATAATTAAAGCAAGTGAGGAAAAGTGTAGAAACTCAAGTAAAATTAAAAAATACTTTTAGCTTTTGATTTAAAACGACACATTACTAGGGGTGTAAGAAAATATCGATACACTGAAATATCGCGATATTTCATTTCCCGATACTGTATCGATATTCTAAAGCCCTGTATCGATTTTTTATTAAGGTTTAAAATGTCAACTTTCCTGCCAGCCGTTCATTTTTATGTTGTAGTTCAGCCTCTGACCACTAGTTGGCAGCAGTGAGCCAGCCATTTGGCTCCTCTACCTCTTGAGGTGTTTGGTGACCATATTATAAATAATATTAAAAACTAAAAGTTGCAAAAAATATATTTTCAACCTATTTATTGGCAAATTTAGTCTAATAATTGAAAACATGGATGAAATAAGAAATATGAAACAAATAAAATGAAAAACATACAAAGCAGACACAGCTAAATGTATCAAAAGTTTGTCTCTGTAATATTAGAATTTTCTGAGACAATGAATTTTGGTTTTTCATTTTTTCCCCTGTAAGAGGTTTTTATTTAATAGAATTTTTGGACCAAAAAAAATCGCAATATAGCGCCTTGCTTACAGTCTCGCAATATATCGGGATATATCGTATCGTGACCCCTCTGTCATGATATGTATCGTATTGCCAAATTCTTGCCAATACACAGCCCTACTTATTACTTTAAATTCCTACAGTACACGCAAACTTCTAAGAAACTGGTTTCAACACAGACGTCTGGTTTCCACAATCAGCCAGTGCAACAAAACAAGAAGCAACATGTGTGTTGCCATTCAGACAATGGAAAGGGAATAGTCCCATCTAATACCTGCAGACTGAGCCCTATCATGTTAACCTTCTCTTTTACGACTGTTTGTTAATCAATACTACAGAGAAGCAACTGCTTACACACACCCTGCACTGCGTGAGGCCGATTTCACTCATGTGCCGGAGCGATAAGATACCCCTCCTAGCTTTAATACAGGCTACTCCCTGATTCCTTCATCTGCCATTTTGCCGGGGGGACTTTGACAAACACTGGGCGGACAGTCAGCTAAACAAAAAAATAAAAAGATCAGCCCGTGTCTTCTGGTAAAACCACCCCAAGACTTGTGTCGAACATTACTGCAATACTTCCTCTGACACACGTCCTAATTTAACCGTATGTCTAAGAATTGATGACAAGATAGTTTTCATGATTTACTCTGACATTAGTTTACATGAGATGAAAAGTACAAGTGGGTTGACTTCAGAAATGTACTGGTAAAACTAAATGGGTACCTCGTCTGTTGCTGTAAAAAGCGTGAGAAAACCTGGAAAAACCCACAGAGGAAATGACAACTTGTTTGGGTAATAAAATCTTAAAGGTCAATGTGTCAATACTCAGCAAAGTGAATAGAATGTTACTGATCATAAATGTAACGTTTCAACTCTACAGCGACGTGTCAAGTGATCAAACCCAACAACAACAACACTACATTGTTACAGAACAATGGCTGAGCAGAAACACAGAGGGATTGCAGGAGCAAAGTTCACACAGAAAGCTTGTCATTTATTTTGAGGACAATTTTTAACAGGTTTAAAACTAGTCATTGTATTGAATCCTTAAACATTCACTCCTTATTTAGACAACTGACAGCAAAAGCAACATCTCTTTCCTCTTGCTTCCACCTCACACCCAATATTGAGATATGTTGTATCACTTTTATTTAACCAAACATGTCAAATGAACTCACTTCACAACCAATGTTTAAAATTTTCTAACCCAAAACTTGATTTATTTATTATTTTGTTTGCTTTATTATACTTTGACCACTTTTATATCAGGATCAATATCAAACAAAATCATTCAGTCCAGACTCGCCTCAAATTATTCTACGTCTGGTCACGTTTATTTGGCAAATACCACCAGGGTCACGTTATGACCGCCACAGCCTTTAAAATAAGCAAGAAAAACAAAACTTTAAAACGATTCAGCTTTCAGCTAGAATCAACAATAAGCTGCATTGTTACTGATTTATTAAATACTACAGTTTTTGGTATTTTGATGTTCAATTTAATACCAAGGCTGAGACCTTTTCTTTAAAATAAATTGTGAATGAAAATCAGGAAAAACAAGGGACGTGTTTAAACTTCAACAAAAGTTTTGTTTCTATTTTTGGAGGTTTAAATTTCATGTTAAAATCTGACACCCACATTGTTGATGGATTTTCAAAATGTACACCTAAACTACTGTCTCATTTATTTGCTGTCACTAAATGCTAAATTCATCTTTTTCTTTCGTATCGCTTCTTGTTATAAACCACATTCATGAAGAGGAATCTAGTGTAATTCATGAACTGGTCAGAAAGCTACAGATTATATAGTCAAAGTGTGTTGATTTGGTCCTTAAGTGACGATGACTGCCTATTATTAATTTTAAAATATGCATAACAAATGCACTAACAAAGCAAACCAAAGTAAAAACACACTATTTAAAATGGGAACAACACTGAGAATACATATTTTTATCTAAAAGGAAGTTTGACATCTTTCATAACAAACCAAATCATGACCTTCTCCTAATGTCAGGTTAGTGAACCATGTAAATGTTTAGAAAACAGGTCAGTTTATGACTCTTTTTAGTTATCTGGATAAACTGGTATTTTTTTGCACTGACTGGGCGTTGTTTGTCTTAATCAACTTAGCAAAGTTTGTATAAGGGCAACGAAAAGCAGAAACAAAGCAACCCGGTCGTGTCACGGAACATCTTCATTATAAAAGTTCTGATTCACGTTTGCAGGCTGCTGAACTAGTTTGTTCAGTTTGTCCGGAGCTTGATGATGAGCTAACACCAGCAGAGAGGCTAGTGAGGATGAGGAAGACTCCCCGGCTAGCTGTGTGTTAGCACACACCGTCAGTACTGGGGCTCCGGGGGTCGTTAGCGTGTCGGTGCTGGGCAGGTAAGCTCGTGAAGAACCGTGTGTTTGCCTCGCGGGTGGGTGTGTTACCTTGACAGAGTCCACGGGGTACATCACCGAGTGCTCCATGACTCCTGCCACTGCTCCCGCTGTCATGTGGGTCGTTACGGAGACATGAGGTGGCAGGCTCTCGTAGCTCTCCCCGTCACTTATGAAAGCCCCGTCTTCCTGACCCTGGGTCTGCGACATCTCCAGCGAGGCCACCGCGCGGTCCGAGCTCAGCTCCATGCGTGGTGAGCTCTCACGGGCGGTCTTCCGTACGAGTTGGCGCTCGGAGAGGCGACATGAACAACCACAACATCTTTTACTTTGCTGGAGTTCCAGCAGCGTTCCCGTGTGACGTCGACGTGAAGGAGGCGCGGCCGTGAACCAATAGCATTGCAAATCATGAGGAATAAGGCGGGCTCTCGGTTTGAGCGTCCAATGAGAAGTTTCCGTACTAAATTCCTGCTACGGCTCGCTGCTCGCGCCAGCTCAACATTTTGTTCATCTGCGAGTTTTTTGAATGGGTTTGACAAGAGGTGTTATTTATCATCGCCCTGCACTGCTCGTGTGAGATAAGGAGGTGTGGTCTCCTTATCTGGCAGCTTGTGATCATAATTACTTAGGAGAACCAGAGCTTTTCCCCCTCTATTCAAGACACCCCATTTATCTTCAGCATCTTCTTAGGCAATAAATGAAATAAATGAAAAGACAAAAAAGTGCATGGAGCATGAAGTGGATTTATACTAATTAAAATGCATATTATTCAAATGTAACTAAAATACAGCTATAATATAACTACATTTAAAATATGTGCCATAAATTGATAGTATAATACTATCAATTTATTTTTGATTGATACCACATTAGCAAAAATGGTACACATTTAGTCTAAAATAAAATCAACCTAAGTATTATTCTGACTGAAAATCATGTGAAAAGCCACATGAAGCCGCCTGGAGCGAAGAACAAAATCTCCTTTTCAAAGTGTTTGATCAACTTGTGAGTAAGAAGCATGGTTTTTTCTTATCCAACTTTCAGACTTCCGTATGTTTGTGTCATCTTCCAGCTGATGTAAGTTATATAAGGCCTTACAGCTTCTTACTGTTGAACGGTTCTTTTGATGCTGCCTGCCTATTTCATCTTGAAAGCCAGAGGTTCTTATTGTCTTTGAGAGTCAGAAAACAATTCAAGGAAGGAAAAGAATGTATATATTGAAGAAGACAGAAAATTGATTGTGCCAGAGTCAGTTAATTTTCTCATTTTCTCTAAATAATTTTTTTTTATTTCAAATGAGCTAATCTGAACAAAAAGGTAGTTAAACACAAACAGGTTTGGCTTGATAAATAATCCCTGTGGTATTACCAGTCATTGAAACAAAAGCTCTGCACCAAGCAGTGCCCCCCCCCAGCCTACCCCATTAAAACACTGGAGACATCACTGTGGCACCAAAACTAAAAGCCGGAACAGAATTTCAGATTTATGTTGATGTCATATAGAAGTTATTTGACAAATACCAGAATGCCAGACTTTTACTTTAATGTTTTTTAGTTAATTTTTTTTTGCAAAAAACAATATTCAGCTTAAATTTGTCTTCTTCTAAAAGTATATTTGAATTTTTTTACAAATATTTCAAAACAAATAAAAATTTGGTGTTTACGTTTATTTTATTTTTTCAAAAATGAGGTAAAGAGGTGGCAAATTTTCACTATTTTCCAGGTTATCATTCAGAATGGTCCATGCTTTGTTTTGCCTCCAACACGGTTTTATTTTGTTCAGAAATAATGCCTTAGGCCACTTAACACATCACATTTGATTAATCTTTGCAAAAACCTAAAAGCAGAATGAACTTCTCTGAACTCATCCTGAATAATCAACTTTGTCCCATACCTATCTACTATTCACCTGATATCTACTATTCAGCTATGAACATTTTTTTCTCCTTTTTCTCTCAATAAGAGCCTTTCTGAAGCTCAGATTTCCAAACAAAGCCTTTTCTGTCACAAAACCTCCCTCATGACGTGTCTAATTCCGAGTCGAGCTCCAACCGTCTTTTCATTCACCTGCAGGCTATCAGTTACTGTTTTTTTTTAAAACTTACATTAAATACAGACACCTCTCTGTTAGAGTGAGCTAATGAAACAAGCAGCCACAAAGTAGCTCATAAAACCTTTTATTACTGTATTGCAGATGCACCACAGTTATTTCACATTCATCTGTGGAAACAGAATGTTTCGTTAAATAACAGGACATGCCTTCTTATTTACAGTCTACCCACAGCAGTGATGTGACAGCTTCTGAAAATGAAGCTTGAAATAAATATATGAATCAAACATCCAACTGAAGCCAGAAAACGTGGGGAAAATGTCAGCAGGGCCTTCAGAGGGACCGATTCTCTTGACAAAGAAAAATAAAAAATAAAATAAAAAAAAGGCAGATGGGCTTTTGGAGGATTTTCTAACAGTGACGAGACAGATATTGCACTCGAATAGCTGTTAAAGGCTTCTTATCTTGCAACAAAAACACACAAACATACAAACACTTCAGTCGGGGCATGCAGTTTGACTGCATTTCAAAGTGCTTCTACAGTTATTAATAAATCCTATTGCATATTCTAACTTCTATAACATCAACAAAAATGTGATCGCACGCATAAAAAAAAAATACAAAGAAAGGAAAATATCCACACAAATAAATCAGTACAGTACATGTATACAGTTATGGTGAATTTTAAAGTGTGGACTAAAGTATTATTTGGGTATGAATTAACTGTAGAGAAATGTACCAATGTGTGTGATTTGAAGAAAACATTTTTAAAAAGACCCATGGAGGTAGTGGCCCTTGCGTTCTACAGGCTATTATGAAGAAAACAAACAAACAAACAAACATGAATGAACAAAATAAACATTAAAAGATTTTCCTTATCCATCCAAAAGTCCAAACTCTACAGCCTTTAAAGACAAGACAAAGCAAGAAAACGGTCTCAGAGAGGAGTGGTGATTGGCTCTGCAAAGCCAGGCGGTCCAGGCTTTAGAGGGTGATGGGGAGTGTCGGCGAGCCGAGGCCCTGCTCCAGCCACGGGACAGAGGAGGGGGTGTAACGCTGCACCGCCCGCCGATGGATGCGGCGCAGGCGCAGCACGTACAGCATGATGGAGAGCAACACGATGAAGAAGCAAGCCAGGAATAAGTAGTGGTTGTTGACAAAAGAGAAGCTGGGTCGCCAGTGAGAGTGCGCTCCTTTCAGACTCTCCTGAGGGATGTCCCTGGAAGAAGCGGGAAAAAAAAAAAAACAAGCTGTAAAAGAGCTTTGTAGAGATTACTCATTAGCAGGGTTGAAGGGTGATGTGGAAAGAAGATTTCAGTTTTTTTACATTTCTGGAGTCATAATCTGAGCAGCAGACCACGAGACTAAAACCTAATCTGTTTTATATTATTATTAGACTACCTGGGGAGATGTACAGTAATTAATTTGCGCTCAGTTTGTGGACTCTTGAAGCAACAAACATCAAAGGAACTACAACATTTGCATATTTTAACAGCATTGATGTGAAAGAAAAAATTACCACCAACTGATAAAAACTTTTTTGCACAAACTGCCCTTTCCTAATGTCCTATTACAAACTGTGCACTGATAAAAAGAGACAAGCAGCTGCAGCTGATATGTGCTCATTGCAAGAGTCACTAATTCACAGAATTATATTTGAGCTCTTAAGAGAAGATCAGAAAATAAAATAAGGATATTGAAAAATACAAATGATTAGTAGTTTGTCAGAGCCTTGAACTTTTTATGGAGACTTAAAAATATTTCTCATCCTCATTCCTTTCTGCAGCCTGAATTAAATGCCTATTAGCGGCCTAGGAGCTCTCTTATTACCGGCAGCGCTGTACATTATTCAATCATTTGTCCACGTACAATGAAGAACAGGTTCAACAAGATTATATTTCATGAGATAAAACTGAGGGCAGACGGACTGGGAAGGAGGCAAACCTTACCTCAAAGGTAGAAACCTTGTTCTGTACAGAATAGCTCCCAGAGTCCACTGGACCTCCTTATCGTAGACCAACAAGGCAGTCTTCAGGTTTTTGTATTTGGTTGGAAAGGAGAAACCTGAGTGCAACACTTCATACATCCAGGCTGATTTAAAACACTGATACCTGCAGACATCAGAAAGAAAGCACCGGTGAACATCTCCTTTTGTAACTGAGGGATTAGAAAACATCCTGTACATCTGCAGGACTTACTTCAGTCTGTGAAGATCTGCATGTGAAGCATACAAGCCAGAGTCAAAGCGTTCCTTCAGTGTTTTCCACTGGGTGGCGCAGTAACCCTGTAAAAGTTGAAATGTATTATTACAGGAGCCAAAGCAAAAAACTTTTTTTTTTTTTGCAGCTTTATTTACCTTGGCTGCCTGGGTGTATTTGGAGGCATTATAATCCCCACCGATGCGCAGCACGTCCTCTGTACAGTAGTAGAACTCAGAGAAGCCATAAAACTGGCTGTTGTTGTAGTTTATCACTGGCTGATAGATGCCGCTGAGGGAGGTTTGTGTGTCGTTGGTGCGGTTGAGGAACGGCTGGAGAATCAGTCTGCACTGGTCAAAGTCTCCCGTTCCTCGCAGGTAGAGCCTCTGTGGAGACGGTCCGATCTCATCCTGCAGGTCTGTGGGGAGACAGGGGTCCGGGAGCGGAGACTCGGCTGTCTCACCCACATGCTGACCTAAGAGCCTGAAGAGATACCAAAGACGTATAGTTAATACTTACAGTATTGTACAAAGAGACCGCAGAAACATTCACAAACTAAACTCTTACACACTTTTATGCCAGAGCTTGATGTGAAGTTTATCTTATGTCTGGAAACAACGGAGTTGTTACCGTTTAAAATAATTTATGTTTAGACAACGTATTTTTAAATGACTCTCAGCTACTTCTCTGTTTTTTGAACTGAGTTCTAGCCACTTCTGTCTCAGTTCAAGTCTATTAGCTGTGGCAGCCATCTTGAATTGAAATGACTCCAGCTGTTGTAGACGTACATATTATCCAACTTTTATTCTTTTGCCAATTTATTAAAGTTTGTAAGATGATTCACGAGATTCACGAGAAGAAAGAAAACAACTGATGTTCCATTTAGATTCGAGGGTGTTGAGATCAGTAGAGTCAATGAGGTGAAGTTTTTGGGTGTCATCATTGATGAAAACCTGACATGGAGATGTCATATAAATTACTTCAGAATAAAAATAGCACAATCTATTGCAGTATTGTATAAAGTAAAGGAGTTATTTAATGATAAAGCACTATTTATATTATATAATTTAATAATTGTTCCACATTTGATTTATTATATAGAAGTCTGGGGAGATGCATGTAAAACCATGATCCTATTTTTATTTTACAGTTAAGAGCTATAAGAATTATCACCAGAAAACATTACTATCACCCATCTAATATATTGTTTCATTAATTAAAAATATTAAAGTTTTATGAATTGGTTGATTATAACATTCTGCAGGTTTTGTATAAGGCTCAAAAATTTGCTGGCTGCTAACACAATCAAATTTTGTTAAGAGGGAAAGCTGCTTTAATTTGAAATGTTTGTTAAACCAAAAATTCGAACAAATTTAAAGGACAGATGCACTTCAGTCAAAGGTATAAGACTGTGGAATGATCTGGAAAATGATTATAAAAGTATTGGATCAATTACTTTGTTAAAAAATGATGAAAGGGAAATTACTGAAGAAATATGAAATTGTTTAGTCTGTATTTGTAAGAGTTACTGTTTGAGGAATGAACTCTTTTTGTTTTGTTTTATTATTTGTTTTTTTTTTAAATAGGTGCAGATATAAGATTTTTTTGTTCTTCTGCCACCTTTCATTTTATTCGATTTGTATTGTTTAGCTGTATGTAATGGGTTTTGTTTTAAATGAAATTAATAAACATTCTAACAATATTTCGGTAACAGACGAACACAAACATTTGCGCGCACGCACGCACACACACAAGCTCTGCTTTTTGGCAGAGTGTGTTAATAAAGCAGAGAAGAAGAGTTATAAGTCTCACTTGTTCCGAGTAGCAGTATTTTGAATGAGGCTCTCCTCGTATCTTTGGCGCGCTGCATTTCCTCCAAAGCCCAGAAAAGTGGACACGTAGACGCGATACACGTGATCGGTGCTATGTGCATCACACCCTAAGTTGAACTCTGCCAGTAAGTTCTTGGCAACTTCCTCCTATGGAAGACACACAATACAGTCAAAGAAAAAAGAAACTCATGATGTGCTCATCTAAACTCGTAATACCTTCAGTACTACGACAGGTTCCTCAAGTTTACAAATGAGGAAAAAGACAAAAATCTCCAGAATCACTGCTGAAGTGTATCTGAAGATTATGTCAGCAACTCTGTTCCAGTACGTAAACCACAACAAATAAAAAAATAAAAGCCAAAAGGTTGACAGGGACAAGGACTATAGTTCATGGTGGTTTATATTCCCAGCCTTAAATCCTGCTCTGGAGTCATGAAGCTGGCTTACAGTGTGTGTTCGACTGAGATGAATGGAGAGCGGATCGTCTCCACAGGACAAAATGGTGCACAGAGGTTTAACCAGAGAAATGAAACAGGTCAGAAGGAGGAAGAAAAACAAAGCGTAAGTGACAAAAACCAAAGACAGCACATGAACAGAATTGGTTGTGGATAATAACCTGCTGTGGAGAGGCAAAGCTTACAGTTTTGGGCACTTCGTACGCAATCTGTGTGGAGACCCCGCCCATGTCCAGGACGCCGGTAGTCCTCTTCCTCATCACGGCCTCCTGCTGATCGCTGCCTGGAACATGGACCTCCACCACAGACTCGTCATCTGAAACGATTGACAGCAGACAGGTGGGAGTGTCAGGCAGTAAAGACATGTCCTGTGATCACTGTAATACTGGGGACTGTATTATTTTTGAACTAAACTGTGGTGAGGCATGAAACGCTTAATGACTGGTAAGACAAGGCACTTGTGTGAGGCCTCACCATTGTGCACATGGTTAAACCGTCCAAGAACAAAATTTATTCCAATCCAGGCGTAGACACCTTAAAGCAAGGGATACAAACATCAGTGTTTTTACATTAACTATTAAAAGGCTTTTAGAATAAAAAAAATGTGTCTGTGCAATTCAGCAAGAGCTGTATCAAAGATTTCAGCTGAAAATACTGATTATTAACTGTCAGTTTTCCACCTGTTTACCTTCTTGTTTTCCAGAAATCACCTCCACGTGGGAATCAGAGAACAGGAAGTTGAAGTCGACTGGGATGTCCGTGCGCAGATCCTCAAGGATTGCTTCCTGTTGACTGAAAAGTGACACAATAACGTTAAAGACCACTTCTGCCAGTTTTCAACTGTAATTTAAAGCAGTGCATTTTAATTATAATGTCTGAACCTTTCTGGTGGCCATATTAACACATTTTTTTTAATGTTTTACCTCTCTGGTAGGATTCTCATTCCAGCTGTGCACAGGATGTACAGAGGTGTTTCTTGGTGCTTATGTTTAGGAATGTGCCGAGCTGCAAAGCTTAGAAGAGGATTTAAGTAATCGCTGGCCTTTTCTGGAGTTTTAGCCATTTTAGAGATCCCTACAAGAAAAAATAATAATAATAATAATTTACAGTGAGTTTATAAAAGCATTATGATTATGTAATAACTCTTCCAGCAGACTGGTGAGAAATTCACACCTACTCCTTCAATTTTTTGGTTGAATGAGAAGCTGAGCAGCAAGCATCTTACCGGGCTTGATCTTCATGACCACTGGCTTGCGGTGTTGATCTCGCATTTGCTGAATATCCAGCAGCTCACGGGGATTGCCGTTGTGCCGGGGCCAGCAGTACACAAACACCCTGGAGCCACTGCTGCCACAGTCCACCACCAGACCGTAGTTCAGGTTGGGGTTGCTCGTATCGGTCGCATCTAGATCAGTCACTCTCGCCAGGTGCCTTTGGAAAACAGCAAATAGTTGTTGAGGTTAACCACATGCTGCGTCTCTAATATCTGCTGTTGACTCGTAGCTCTTAGGTTTAGAGCACCGGTGGAAGCGATTCTCCGTCGTGACCCAGCTGGTGTGTCCCTTCGCAGCGACAAGCAGCAGGTAGAGCAGTCCGATGAGGCAGACCACCAGGCTGATGAAGAGCAGCTGTCTGAAGGAAGGTACCAGAAGACGAGGGAGAACCTGGCACGACAGGCTGAAATGCCACGAGGCTGGGAAAAGGCACGAAAAACTGAGCCTGTCGATGAATAAAACAAGAGGAGACTTTCAACATGAATGTAGCAGGCATGAGGAAAACGAAACGAAATAACATGAAACCTACCTTCCCATGGTGTTTAACCGGTCTATGTATCAGTCAGATGAACTTAGGGAGCCCGTTCCAAATCTCCATTATCTCTTCATGATTTATAACCACGACCTTTGAGGAAAAAGGCCCATAATGTGCTCAGACGAGTACACTATCCAGACTTAGAATTGATGCCAGTCGTGTACAATTTTGACTTAAAGTGAGGGCAACCAGGAAGTGAATTGTTAAACACGAATCAGCCTGTGCGGAGCTAGCGAGCTAAAGCTAAAATACCAGAAACCTGCGTTTTTCGCCTTTAGTAGCCTTTATAACAGTAACGTAATCAGACAGTAGCTCATATTAGAGTTGATACTTACTAACAAACTCCTCTTTTTGGGGAAACATGGCCATTTCCGACCAAGCAGATGCTCACCTCTGGCTAACTGCTATGAAGCAAATTAGCTATACGTGTTCCCGATTCCTCGGTGCGTTTAATTTGCTTACACGCGTGACCCGGAGCAGAAGCAAACCAACAAGCCTTTTAGCCTATGTCAATTTTCCCTTTAAATATTGAACTCTAATACTCATAAAGCTGTATCAGGAAAAAAAATCGAATTTATCAATGTTAGTTTTTACCATATTAAAAGATGCCGTTAACCTACTGTTCCTGCCTGCAGTCCAAATGTTAAAAACAAACGCACACTCAGTTAAAGCGTAAACCAGTGAGAAACGTCACGCACGCTTCTGAAATTGACCAATGAGGTACGAGAACAGCGCCATATTGGAAGGGGCGGGCAGTAAACTTTTTTTTCATGGCTACATCTCCACGCAGAAATTGCATATAATTGTCTAATAATGTTTCTATCATTAATTCATCAGGGAGGATATTCGACTATCAGCCAAGCAATTATCCACAAGCTGCATAAGGAAATCCCAGAAAGCAAGAAAAAAATAGTGTAAAAATGAGATCAACACAAATACCAAATTATTATGAAAGCTTATGCATGTTGGCCTACTACAAAAAATAATAAAATAAAAAACGTTTAAAATAAAGTAAAATAAGTTGTTTAACTGTAAAAATGACTGGTTTTCCACATTCATCCTGCTTTATCAAAGCGAACAATTCTTATGAAAAATATGGTCTATAAAAAATGACAGCTATGATGTTGAAGTTTTATTGTGCATACATTATGTTTCCACATCATTTTTACAAATCATAGCAACTTAGCAAAAATGAGAAACATTATATAGGAACTCAAACTTTGAGATGATCTGAGTCAATGTATTTTACAAATATAAACAAGCTGTCCATAAAGTTACTGTGCAGTTCCTACTTATGTACTGAGGTATGTCAGTGTGCTTTCACACTGCAGAGAGTTGAAGTTGATGGCATACAATCTGAACATTTATCATAACTGCAGTAAATCAAACTGGCTATTCTGCAGAGTTGTGTGTTCAATGAACAATCTTTATATTTTCAATTGCAATTTTTACCAGATAGAAATCTTATATTTTGTTATTGACCACTAAAAAAAGATGACCATATTTCGGTTGGCTTCTGCCTTTTAAAGACATCATTCATTGAAGACGTGTTTAACTTAGCAACATGTTATTGCCTGATTTAATGTGCACTGACAAGGATTTCTATCAAATCCAAATAGTGGTTGTCAATATCAAACTAAGTGTCATTGACATGCTGACCTAAATTAAACATGTCATGTGGCTGTCGGGTTGCAGTTGTTGACATACTAATGTTCATGGACCTCCAGAGAGCTTTTTCAGCATTTATGAGTATATAAACAATCCCCCCGAGAAGGAACCTGTTATTTTTTAACTTCAGCAGGTGGTACAATTCTCCATTCACAAAGTCAGGATCAGAAAAGAGGCTTAATTCTGAATTTCTGATGAAACAAACTGTAATTTATTGTATATTTCCCACAGATCCTATATGACTCTGCACCACCCGTTCACAGTAGGTATAGTCGACAGTTACAGTTGTGTCAGTCGGTTCATATTGGGTTGGCACTTCCTGCTTTCCTTTCTTTGAGACTGATGTTTGACAACTGCGGGTGAAGTCCTCCATTGTAACATGTCCCTTCTTTCCCGGACTGATACCACTGCGTACAAGGAGCAATCAAGTCTTTACATGTATGGCTGCTGCTCCGACCTCCTGTGTTGCGCAAAGGAAAACCATCAGCTTTGGATTCAGTCAGGTGTACAGTACACTGAACACTGTTTTATTACATCAAACATTTTTTTCACTAACACTTTTGTCTTACCTGCTGTTCTCACAGAACAGAAGAACAATTCCAAATGGTCCTGGATGAGTCTATATGTGCATACAAAGGGCTGCTCCACAAGAACTCAAGGGACTACGCCTGGTAATCTTTTGATTTTGGAGCATGTAGGACCAAAGTGCACTGCTGAGAATCATCCCTACTCCGTGCGTGAAGTGTACTCGGTGCTGCATCACTAAAGCCAGGTGACAAATCCACACCCTCTGACCATCTATTAAAGAATGAAAGCAGTCATGATGTAGAAAAACAAAACAGATATATTCACAACTTCCCTTCCAGAACCCAATACTCCTGGGCACTGAATAAATATACAATAATAATGAAAAAATCTGGGCTATCTATGGTGACTTACCGACACACTGTGCGGGGATTAGGTAGAGGGATTTTCATTTCTTCTCGCAGAAACTCGTAGGCTTTTGGGCTATGGGAGAACAGGGCTAATGCAAAACATTTCTGCTTTTCAGAGTACGATTGAGATGGCCTCTCAAACAACTCCACCGGAATATCTGTAGGAACACATTGCAGTGGTTTAGTATATATTGACTGTTATTACGATTTCTAAAAATATGTAATTTCTAGGGCTGTGAAATTAATCAAGTTAACTCTGATTAATTTTAGTGTTGCATGGGCCATAGATTAATTTGTTTTAATCGCGACTAAAATTTACCATCACTTTACTATGGCTGAATATGTAGGTTTGTATATTGCAATGCACTCAGTGCATGCCAGGTCATGTTTGTAAATGAGAAGTGGTTCTCAAACAGTTTACCTGGATAAATAAACGTTAAATAAATAATACACAAAAACTTAATGGTTAACACATTATGTACAGTTTTTTTGTCTTCTTATGGCTTATTTTATTTTATTTATTTAATAGATAATTAATATATAAAAATTCAAAAATTTTAAGTTTTACATTAAGTTTAAGATTAATTGTGATTAATTCACAGCTACCTTGGAATTGATAGATCAAAAATTTTTATAATTTGACAGCCCTAGTAATTTCTATTAACCCTTAAAACCCTTTAACAATTTGAGATTAGCACACAGGGGTACCAGAAGATCAAAACCAGTGTCTATAGCAGCAGCACAATAAGGTGTTTGGCAGAGAAGATTTGGCAAAAAGTTTTATGTGCACAACTCACATACTCAGCTCTACTGCTCATCCCACAAATGCATGTTCCTTACAAGTGTGGCAATATTTAACAACGGGCTTTCCCACAGTATAGGATCTATTGCCAAGAAGCGTTGTTACGACAAAGAAATAATCTACCAAACACAAATTTATTTACTTTTTGTGTTTGGTATTCCTAACTTGAATGTGGCAGAGTTATGACAGATGTGTGGTGTTTTTGTTTCAAATACCAAAGAAACTTGCCAGAATAAGCTCCCAGCTTGGCTTGCAGGTCTGCAGACAGCATGTTTTTATCGGACAGCTCTTCGAGCAGAGAGCGGCACGAGGCACGCGCTCGCTTCTCCATCCTCCTGCAGTTATGGAGCTGCTGCTCTAAATGCTCCCTATGAGCATTTAGCTTTTCAACTCGCTGCCGAAGTTCTACTGGATCAGGAACCGCATAGGCGTGATCCTTAAAAAATTCCAGATTGAAATACTTTAACATGAGTGGGTAAACGCATACATTTTTCAATGATCATTTATCGAACAAAAACCTATTCTTCAACTGCATTTACCTTTGAAATATATGAACAATCCTGCAATTTTTCTTCAGGTTTCCCCAACTCTGCTGAGTTCTCTGCTGCATCTGCTGCCTGGCTTACAGCAATTTCCTGCGTTGGTTTTTTTTTCTGCGCAACAAAAAACACGAATATATTTAAGCAGTTTTAGCAGTGACAAGAAAATGTTTTTAAACTAACTTTTGCTGACACAAGCTCCTGTGATTACCTTCAAACGCTTGGGGAAGTTAAATATCGACGGTATGGTATCCGGACGGAGTCGTACAGTTTGACCAGTGCGATCAAAATCAGTATCCTTGAAGTGTTTGGAGCACAGCACATCATGCTGGCCAGGCATCCACAGAGTGCGATCCAGGTTTGAGCGTTTCACCGCCCGAGCCCACTGTAGCCTCAGCTCTTCGTTCTTTGGAAAACTTAAAAATATAAAGACACAACTTCATTAGATTATCCCTGAAAAACAACACTCTTGATCAGCATTAGCCTAATTCACGTCATTGAAGGCTCGGTGCAACTTGAGTGTGACTGGATTAAGTAACACCACCTTATCTATGCTGCAGCTTTTTCCAGCTTTCCTGCAGTGAGTTTGACAGCAGACATGTGGACAACAGTTTTGAAGAGAGAAACTGACTAAGTCCAAGCATAGATAAAAAAAAAACTTGTCTTTAATATAAATAAAGTCACCACAACCTCAATATTTATAAGGACAGTACATTCATTGTCCCCCACTGCAACATTTTAACAAGTCACTGACAGAAACTATACACGTGTATACAAGTCTTTATTTAAAAACACAACCAAAAAAAAAATAAAAAAACATTAATTCAAAACTACACGAATAAATCACAAAATACAGTAAAATTGAGGCGCTTTCATTATTTCTTCAGGACGTCATAAGTAGTTGAAATAACAGTTTAGACCAGCAGAGGGAGTTGTGAGCAGCTCGGGGAATAACCCATCAAGCTCCGAGGTTTCACGAGGCTTCATCTGGCCATCACTACTAGAGTTTAAAAATAAGAAAATGCTAGACTTATTTAACATCCAGTTGTAATTTACATCGACCAATCACAGCGATATTTTATCATTTCAAAATGACCAGAAAAATGGCCACGTACACTGACCACTCAGTCAATCAATGTCGCTTCAAACAGTAACTTACCTATGGAAAGTGATTCCAATGAGCTTTGATGCTTCATCCCGTCTCTGAACACAGTTGTATGCTGAACAATGTGACGGCATTTTTCAATAATAATCCAACTTTTGCTCCGAATCCAAAAATCTGTCCTCGCCCCGCACAATATGGCCGATGTCCGCCCAATAAAAATGACGTGACAGCGCCTCTAGTGAGCTTTCTTCTTTTACAGCTGGATGTGTTTCATTAAGGGCAATGACTCATTACTGCCACCTACTGTCCATTTCTGTACTGCGGCTGGTTCGACTAAAAACCAAACTTTTTAATTTGTAATATCGACACTAAATTTTCACTAAGGTACGAGCATTTATTTTTGTTTTTTATGGAATACATTATAAACAGAAGACTTGTAATTAACTTAATTATTATATGTGGCAAATTTAATATTTATACGTATTTATTTTTAGCATTTTCACTTCTTTTTCTCAGTTTTGGTAAAGGAAATCAGTCCTTATTTACGCACTATTTCTACAAAAAAGGAAGCTGTAAACACATCTAAATTCTGTAGATCAATTAATATTTTTAATTGATGTTTTTTGTACTAAATTTACTTTCTGTTGTTGTCTATAACCCTGGCATACTTCAATACTTGTTCTGTTTTGTTCCTTGTCCTTTCTTTGAAATTGTACTGGTATTTTAATTTGTAAAGATCTTTTTATTAGAAAATACATTTAAAAAAATCAAACACGTTTTCTCGCAGATAAATAACATAAAACAATCTGATCATTAACTGATGTCATCCTTACCG